ATTGACAGAGATTTGATTTAATGAAAATATCATTTTAAACATCTACAAGCGTTTAGCTAATGTTTAACCTCTGATAACTATGGTTTTTTTTTCTGTAGCCTGGTCTGCTTGGTAAATGTAAATTCTCAGCTCTGGGAGATTTCTGGCTTAGTTGTTTGGCCTTTTTGTTTCTTACAGAATCACAATAAATGCTGGATTAATCCTAGATTTTTCTTAAAAATTAAAAACGAATCAAAAAAAAAAAAAAAATTGCAATCATGTTCCGTTTCAGACAGCACCCAGCTGAGCAGCATCATTAATGATGTGATTCCCCTCTGACGTTGAAGAAGAATAACTACGTAGTTGTACCCAGCAGATAGATGTCTAATTATACTCAACAGGTTAATAATCTATTGTTAATTTGAACTATTCAGTTAACAAACCTTTCTGAAAGAAAAGAGAGGGCAGAATAACTGGGTCAAGGTATCGGGCGCCTTCTCTCTCTCTCTTCTTTCTTCTTCCTTTCTCTCCATTTTTGAAATCCAGATTTAAGGCGCTGCATTTTTCAGCCACGGACGTTTTTATCAAACTGCTGCTCAGGGGCATCATATGGGGGGGAAAGTTAGGATGATTCTAAGGGCTCTTGACTGAGGGGGGGGGCCCAAAGGAGAAGAAAAGATTTGTCCTGCTATATTTTTCAAATATAAAGAGAAAATCAAGAGGTAAAATAAATCATCTTCATGTTCTCCATCATTTTTCAGCAGTAAACAGTGAGACAAAGCATGAATATATATTGACCCCCCCCCCCCCCCCCCCCCCCTCTCATGAGATTGCAATACATTTTTGGTTGAATTTAATGTTATTCAATTTGATCCTATGTTGTCATGAACCTTAACTTTGCACTACTGTGTGACAAAGTTCTCATCTGACCAAATTTTCTAAACTTTTTATTTCACCTTTGGTGTTTTTGATTATTTATAGACAAACACAAGCAGCACAATAACAACAACTAAAGGCACAAAGCAGAAAAAACACATTTTGTTCCGAGTTTAGCTATAGCTCCAGGTGGTCTGCAACAGCGACTTCATTTGCTTACCAAAAACAGCCACCTATTTACTGAGCTACAAAGCTGCAGTGCCAGTTGTATGGATTGGTTATCCAGGATCTGCAATGTTGGTGTCTTCTGTTTGACTGTTGACTGAATCTCTTAATTTTCAGATAAAAAAGAACATAGGATCCCATTAATATGGGCTACAAGAGATCACTCCCTCCTTGTTTTTTTACTTGCAAGAGGTTCGATAGGAAAACCAACATAAACGCAGCATGAGACTAAGGGCCGGATTTATCAAGATCCAATTTTGCGTGCAGTAATTTGCGCTCGCAAACTGGAATTTTGCGCGAGGGGCTGAACCATGGTTTGCGGGTGATTTAACAAGAGTGATTGCGTAACTGGTGGAAGGTGCAAAACTGTTGGAGACGCCCTATTTAAATGATGGTTTTGCGCGTTTTGTGGTTTGCGGCAAAGTAGTTTGTAGTCTGTACAAACTAGTGCATTAAGAAATTTAAATATTACAGTGACCCCCAACAAAAAAAAAATAAGTAAATATATATATATATATATATATTTATAAATTGGCAACCTTTATTCCCTAAGGTGGTATGTGCTGCAGTAAAAAAAAAACAAAAAAAACAGGTGTTTTGTATTGGCCTGTGACTGTGGATGAGATCCCCGCAGCATTTGGCACGTTGCTCCACAGGCGCAGGGGGAGAACCCCGACCCCGTCGGACAGCACTTCTGAAAAAACGAGATTGGGAGATCCCATCTCTCGCTGCAACTGTACGCTGGAATGACCCAGATGCAAAAAAGTGCAATGTTGCAAGGAGTTTTGTGATATCTGGTATTGCGTGGGTCCTCCTTGCGGCTGGCTCCAAATCCATTCGGAGTTCCCCCAACAGCTCCAAAATGGCAATGCTGGATAAACGATATGTTTTGATGATCGTTTCCTCGTTCATTGCAAAAATATTCACACGGAGTGAAAAAATGCGTTCTCTGCGTCTCCTTGCTTTATTTCCATGTCTCCTTCTTGCGACAATAACTGCTGCCATGTGTGCGCAATTACGCATACAGACCATTTGCACCTTCTTTTGAAATGTGTTAAATATAGAGTCAGATACCGTTAGCAAAATTGCGTTCAAGTTTGATAAATCACTTTGCGAGTGCTAAATTAATATATTTACATGTTCTCCTCCCACAAGACGCACTTTTGCGTGTAAACGCCCCATATTGCATATTCATTGCAGAAAAAGTACTAAATGGATCAGAGGCGCTATTTAGCACGTTTTAAAGACCAAATGCTTTTAGCACGCTGTTGATAGATCAGTTTGTACATTTTTTAGCGTGCGCAGTGAAATAGCTCACGTTTTAATACACGCAAACCTTTGATAGATCCGGCCCTAAGTCTTGATTCAGTCAAATTAAGTTATGTTCAGGCACTCTGCCTCCTATCAGAAATCATGACATTTTCCTGCAGAGATAACATCTGCAGCAAGACAAGACTGAAAGGAATAGGGAACAAAACCAGAGACAAAGAATAATAATTTATTGTTGTGGTGCTGGAAGTATGGTTCTGCTCTGAGGTTTTAATTACAACCAAGTGAGCTGTCTGTGGGAGTGGAAACACAACCAGTCTAGGGAGCGAGGAATCATCTTCAATGTCTGCAGACTGGGTTTGACCTAACATACTGAGTCTACAGGACTGACTGATAAAGAAAGTCACAATCAAATATTAAAAAGCATCTCAGATCCAAATATGACTCTGTGCTAAACGGGGACTTACTGAGGTTGTGTATGAATTTTTCAGCAGGAATGTAATTTAAATTAGATTAAGATGAAGCTCAGTCCTGATAAATTACAACTGCAAAGTTTTGCTGCAGATTTGGCATCAAACCCGGATCTAAACCTTAAGCGGGCCACATGCCAGCACATGAATGTTTTGATCTAAACCCTAAGATGCTGTTCTGTGGAAGATGAGCCTCTGTCCACCGTCTAAAGATTTTCTTGTAAAATCATCCAGCATTTACTGTAGCTCTGTCTATCTTCCCCAACTCTCTGTGCCCAGAGATTGAAAAATCAGAATTTCCTAAGGCTTTCTTTCAACAATTCACCTTTTATCCTGCAAGTTTTTGATGAAGGTTAATTTTGCAGATAGCAGAACTAAGTTTTCCAGTCATCAGATTCTCTCAGCCAAGTGGTGGAAACACTATTTTCAAGAGCATGACCATTCTTTTTCCATTAGCCTAATCCTGTTTTTGAGTTTCTTAGCACATATTGATCCAAACCAAATATAAAAAGCTGATAAAGACCTGCTTTTATTAAAGCTGATGTTATAATCAAAACAGTTTTGTAAGAAAATTGACCAAATGACTAGAAGCCACATGGTGCTCTGATACCACGAGTAACAGACCCCTTGTATTGGATTCTGCTGGTTCTAAAAGATTCTCCTAAATTTAAAATCTTTTGTATTTTTATATCTTCTATTTAAAAATTTAACTGAACTAAACTTACATTCAGTAAATTCAAACCAAAAATAACAGGTCAACTAAAGATTCATTCATTATATTTATGTTTATATAAAGTTGAAATTATACTGAGTCCCCAATACCTTACAGCATCAGCTTTGATTGAAATTTTTAATAAATATTCTGTGCTTATATAATTTAGCAGACTTAAAAGATTTCCGTTTTTTTTTTTAAGAAGTAAAGACTGTTTCTTTAGTGTCTAATGACAAAACAGTCAAGCATGACTGGTTAGTTTAGTGTACTTAGTTTAGTATATTTTATGTATGTTTAAGCCTTTATTTTGTTAAATTAAAAAGTAAAAACTTGTTATTGTAGAGGATTCTCTTTAATTACATTTCAGAACAGAACTCAAGGAAATAAATTTCTTAAAATTATCCAAAATTTTACAATAGAAAATATGTTCTCTGCCTCAAATTTAACCAATATTATATAACTAAAACATAAATTAAAGGTTTATTCTATTTAACAGGGTTTTTCTTATTTAGCCTCACCATCATTAAAAGTCTGTCCTTATATTTGCAAATAGCAGTGATCTGAGGAGGAGAGGTATGGAAGAAGTAAAGTCTCATTAGAATTAGACCTTTGTTACACATTGAGTTTATAATCTGGATTTTTATCCTGGGAAACTGGGTAGTTAATAATTTTTCTAATTTGCCAGTAAAATAGAAGCTCAAATGCAGGAGTTTGCATATATATATAAAAAAATCCAAACATTTCAACTGCAGGAATTAACCTCCAAAAATAGACTGACTTTCTGATAGTGCGGACATTAAACTACACTCACTGCTGATGACCATAGCTGGGTTCCCAAAACCCTGAATTTTCATGGCACCCAAACCATACCATTTTAGAAACCAGCAGTCCTTTGATGAAAGCATAATGGGTGAACTGTTTGGCTAATCTGGTGACAGCTGCTATGCTAAAAGCTAAGGGTTAAGAACCCATCCCTGCTTAATGTATTGATGTGTCATGTGATAAAATTAGATAATGACCTGATCAGCTAAAAGCTGCTGGACTCGCTCTAGTGTTGGTTGTTTTGGCCTGAATGAACATAGAAGGTTTTAACATCTGAATTATGCAGTTGAATTTTTTACAGGCAACATTTCTGCTGGTGAATTTAAAGTAAAAAAAAAATATAAATAAAAATAACTTCAAAAGATAAAACTTGTTAGAAATTGATAAAAAAAAAAAAAAACGCTGACTCTAATTAGACTATATTTCTTCCATAGGGAGATGCCTGTGTTTTGTGAGCAATATATTAATATGAGGCCAAAACCCAGACAAAATACTTCTCTTCCAGTCCGTTTTCTTTAGAGAGCAGGAAAATTACCTACATTTAAAACATTAGATTTTTGAAGGGAAAATAAAATTTACCTTTCTGGTCAATCAAAAAAGAAACCCAACATTTACATGTAACACGTCATCAGTTCATGATCAGAAAAACATGTTTTATGTTTTTATTTCAACTCTTTGCTTCCAAAAACTTGTCGGACCACCGTTTTCTCAGTCCCATTCTTCCTCATCCCTGTACGGGTTATCCTCTCTGGGCGGCTCCTGAAAGCGGATGTTGGCCAACATGTCCCTCATGGCCACCATCAGACGATTCACCTCTTGGTTCAGCTCCTGTCCTGCTCGAGCCACCTCCATCTCATCCTCCTGTCTAAGTCCACCCTGAATATATATAAAAAAATTAATATACATATATGATCATATAACCACCTCATCTACATTGTTAAAAAATATTATTAAACCATTAACTTTTCTGAGCTCCTTGCAAAATGAGCCGAACAAGCACTTCTATGGTAAAACAAGGTGGCTGCAGCATCATGCAGTAGGGATTTTTTTTTTATGTGGCTGTAAAAAGCTGTTTAACAAAGTTAGCATATTTCCAATTATAAATCAATAAAAAGAGAAAAACATAAATCACCAAATTGCATTGGAGGTTTGTGATTATTTAAGTGAGAAAACATGTAAGATACATGTATTTGTATAGTGGCTTCTGTGTTGCCAACCAGCACTGGTTTACAAGACAAATTATGAGATAAGAAAAGTGAGTATTTAGTAAAGTATCTAGTAAATATCTAGTAAAGTATCAATGATCCACTAAATACACACACGTCTTCCCACAACCTCATATAAGGTTAGCCTGTGGCTAACAAAGCACAAGCTACTTTCCTTTAATAGTGCTAATAAGCCTTCTTTTTTGTGTGTTTAAAGAATGACAAAGTAAGGACTTGGAACCAGTATTCACCCGTTAAGGGAGAGAGAAACTGACAGGTATTCATGTGGTTGGACTTGAGCAAAAAAAATGACTGATCCCAGGGGAACTGACTTGCTTTTGGCAAAGAAAAACGACATCAACTGAATGTGATAAAACTGATTGGATCGAAAAAGAAACAACAAAACCATGACAAAACTAAAGCAAAACTGCTGGAAAGGTCTAACAAATAAAACCAGACATGAAAGAAACCAAAGTAAGATTGATTAGATAAAAGAAACTAAATAATAAAGCAGAGAGTATGAGAAAACCCCTAAGTAATAAGAACATAAAAAATTAACTAAGGCAAGACCCACATATCAACCAAGATTCTCTAAGCTATTTAAAAAAAGTGGATAAAAGGACTGAAAGGACCCACAATTACTACATGTACATATATATTAATCATAAACCTATTTTATATCAGACATTTGCTTCTTTCCTCTCTTTCAGGACAGATCTGTTAACTAAACATATTCTGGGTTCCAAATGCCAATAAGTACAATACACATGGACCGCAATATCATCAATGTCTTACAATCATTTCAATGACTTACTGATGGCACAGAAACAAAAATTTGTATTAATTAAAAAGTAAAACACCCTTAACACTGATTACAGTTTCCTGTCAAATTAATCAATGCACTGCAATCAGTGAGAGCTGGATGCTTCCGACCAGGCAGGGGACGGGGAAGGAACCAAACAGGTTTGTCTAACAAGCAACATGAAGCTGCAGATTTCTCTAAGCAACGTTGCTCAGACCAGACTGACTCTCAAAGATTATTATTTACCGTTACTCTTTGTGTGAACTGTACCATTTCTGTTTTCTTAACTTTATATCTTACCACTATATCACATGTCTGGTGCAAACCTCTATTATCTCTTACAGTTTGCAGTGCTGATTGGCTTTAGACTACCTCCTGAGGTGGATCAGGGGTGTAACATTAATGGTGTGAATTTAATCAATCCATGCCAGGACCTTTAAGTTGATAGCAAGACTAGTAAACATGTAGATCAAAGAACAAAAATGTTCAGATAGGAGCTTGTGATTTGGTGATTACCTCATCCCTGATTTCCAGCTCAATAGAGAATAGAACAATATGAGAGTAAGCCTCATAGTAAACAATAATGATCCGACTTTTCCCAGGTCAGAGATTGAGCTGTGAACCGATTTCACATGAACCAAAGTAAGTGATTGATAGGGGGGTGGATCTGTTTATGACTAATGTCAGCTTACAATCAAAGATTAAAGCCCGACTTTGAGGATTTACAGTTGGTATAAAAAAATACTTTAAAACACATAATGAGAGCTTTGATCAAAATAAAGTCAATATCAGCTTCAGTTCATTAGTCTAGCATCCTAATGTTGACACCTGATTCTTAAAATAATTTAGCTAAAAGAAATTAAACAACAAATTAATATTTATTAGGGCTGAAACAATCCGATTAATCAGATTAATCGATTATTGAAATTATCGTCAACTAAATAAGTAATCGTCAACTGAAGTGTAGGGACTCTAAGACGTGCCGTAGCTGACAGAGCAACTCACTCAGAGAAGTAACTATACCAAAATTATTTTAAAAAATATGTAAACATTTTGCATTTAAAATAAAATACTTTTAGTTTTATATTTATCAATATGCTCTAGCCAGAACTCCTCAAGTGGAAAAGTTTTAGTTTCACCTGTTTTGATTTAGCAAAAAACTCCTTTAAAGGAACTTTCGGATATCCGATTATTTATTGAAATATAATCAACAGATTAGTCGATTTTTTAAATATTTATTTGCAGCCCTAATATTTATATAATGGGCAACTGCAATTAACTGTGATACACACATTTCAAATATAATTTTCCTGAAATTCTCTTCTTGGAAGCTTTGACTCAGTTATTCAAAAGGAGAGTCACCAAAATGTCTGCTAAAGCTCAACAAGGATCAATAAAAAGGCCTTACACACAAAAACAGTTTATTATTTAAAGGTGACGATAAACCTTGAAAAGAAAAGCAACTTATCTCTGTGTACTCCTTTAAAATCCCAACGAATAAGTTTCATCAATAGCATTCATGCTGCAAAAGCACACAGCTAACATTTAGTGACTATTATAATGCTGTGTTTTACAATAGTAAATTAAGGACAGCAGTAATAGTGAAATTTACATTCATAGATGCTCTATAGTTGTTGTCCCTTTAGGCTAACCATGAGCTTTGGAAGGAAATGTTCGATCAGTCAAGGGAGTGTGTTAAGATGTTTTCTTGTATCTGAAAGCAGCACAAGTATTTCAAAATAGCCTGCAGGATGCTGCGTACTAATGGCTGTATCTGTGTCAGTTTTGTAACTGCTAACCAGACAAACTAGAGACAATGTTCTACATCATCATTTTAAAGGATTTGAAGGAAAAAGTAGTTAATCTCAAAAACTGTGAGGGGAATAAAAAAGCAAAAATATCACATTGGCAAAATACTTGAAGGATTCCTGCAACTTTGAGAGGGACGGTAGATCTGTCATAAGATTTGAGTTTGAACCAATCAGTACAAATAATCCAGTGAAATAGGTTTCCAATTTTAAACACCTGTCAACCATTGGAGGAAATCAGACTCGGTCTTACTGAGAGCAGATTATGTTTACAAATGGAGAAAATCAAGTGCTTCATTTGAAGTGAGCCTTTGTTGATGATATTATAAGTTATTTACTGGTCTATGGACCTACTTTTATATAAAATACTCATATGAGAAGAGGTAATTGTATGGTGATGTCTTAATTAAACCACTATAACAAATTAAATCAGGTGAAAAAGATATCAGATAACCTTTCTCCTCCACACTGAGAGGAGCAAACTGAGGTGGCTGGGACATCTTTTAAATCAGATGTCCTCTGGAGGCCTAGAGGACGACCCAGGACACATTGGATGTTTTTTTTTCTTGACATAACAAATTATTGCATCAGAATTCTGCCAAAAGACAACATGTGTAATAAATACTCATATGAGCAGGTTTATTTAAAAGAAACACATGTAAAGTACTCTCCATGCATATTTTGAATGTTCTTTTCCTCGTATTAAATCTGCACTCATAGAACGTTCAAAATGTGCTCACAACCATGAGTAAGAGCATCCCTGTGCTTGGGGTTTGCTTTTTATGTGCCTATAGATTCTCTCTTACATCTGTGTGGACCTGTTTCTGTGCAGTTCATATCAACTTTTGACTTTGAAGCAACCGGATAAAGCAACCTGTCTGTGATTGGCAACTTTTAAGGAAACCCTCATCTTGAGAATGTACTTCCTACCAGCAAAGCAGCCTCAGGCTGACCGCTTCCCTTCAAGAGTTAGAAGTTGGTAAGCAAAGCCATAGTTATACATAACATGGTCAGCATGAATACTGAATTCTGATTGGCTGTAGAGTGTCTGTTCAAAAGGGTTATAGGACATCTACAAAAACAGTTCAGGTCAATTAGTCAGATAGTTTCTGCTAGCTTAAACAGCTGGAAACGGGAAGAAAGTTTGCACTGGTTACCTTGGCAACGTATGCCTACTTAAGATGCGGGATTTCCTGGAAAGAAGCCAATCACAGGCGGGTTACTTTGTGGTAACACCTTCAAAGTGCTAAAAGGCAGCAACAGGTCCACATGTGAGGAGGAGCGAGGCTGCGCACGAGTGCATATCACGCCACATACGCGCAAAGAAGGAATAAGCACTCTTCTGTGATATATTGGGGCCCTGTGGCACTCTATGTGCATATCTAACCCTTTAAACATGTGTGTGAGGAGTAGTTTATGAGTGTCTGTATGAAATAAAGCTGCTCATAGGAGTATTTATTGCATGTGTGCATTTTTGGCAGAATCCTGATGCCAAATTTAACCTCCTAAGATTATTTCAGCTCTTTCTGTACCATTTTACCAGAAGCCTCCAAAAATAAAATTACATTGGAGAAAAAATTGAAAAATTCCCAGTACAAACTAAAGCAGACAGTAGTGATCCACTGTCAAGTTCTGGTGGCTTATTACCCTGAATGTCAATTACTGCAACAGTCAGAACTTGCAAGAGGGAATAATAAAAAACATAAGTTAAGTTCCAAGGTTTAAAAGCCAGCCAGTTGGATATAACAATAGATATGCATACTAATAATTGTGTTTTTCTGCTAGCTGTACTGATGTACAAAAAGTCAGGGAAGCAGCCATCAAAACAAAATAAAGAAAAGTTTAAGCGTCGAGCGATCATTTAGAGACACTGAGACATTAGAGACATATAGTAAAACAATATCTACAATAAGCAGAGAAGTTTGCAATAGTATTTCTTTATTCCACTACATCAACAACTTTCTCTTAATTTGGCTTTGAGAGAAGCTCACCTCTCCACTGAGGAGGTTAGGTTTACTGCTCTTATTAAACACTGCATGAAGTTAAACAAAAAAAGAGTTACAGAAAGTCAAAGGAGTCAGAAAAGAACATTTAAGACCCGCCTGTTTGAGAAGCAAGTTCATACTGAGTGTAATAACCAAATTCTGGACACAGAGCTAACAGAATTTGTTAAGAGACAAATAACTTTTGTCTGTTAGGCTCACAGTTGCTGATCACATGTCGTCTCCACATGCAAAGCATGAGTTCTTAATTAGTGCTTTCTCCACATATTTGGTGCCAACAGCTTTGGAAATATTTGCAGTTTTCTCTTAAGAGTGCAGAGAATAAAATGTACAAATTATGAATGAAAAGAGAATGAGAGCCGACTTTAAGCTAATAATGTAGGTCTTTTCATGATTTTGTTCCAACATTCGTGTCAAATAGCCTAAATGATTCCAACTTTCCAAGAATCACCTGTTACAATTTGTTCAACTTACCTGAAGGTTGAAGTTAGGGAGCAAAGACCGGAAAAACAGGGACAATGTGCTCTCATTGGATGCACCCGCATGCTGCCTATATGTGAGGACACAAAAACATTAAATAAGGACAGAGCTTTTAAGTTATAACCACCTAAAGTTATGAGCATGTTTGTTCTCTGAAGAGCAGAGATGCATCACATCACCTTTCTGGTCTGGTGTATGAAACAACCGAGTCCAGAGGAGGCAGAGGGTCAAAACCCATTACAGGCTGAGTGGTCACCTCCTACAGGAATAAAAAAGAACACACACTTTAAGGATTATTCCTAAAAGTCATTAGCTTTTTAACTTTCTGCAGGAGTCCTGATGGCTTTGCTCATTTATGGCTCAGAAATGAAGCAGAGTTCATCCCTCCCGAAGACATGTCTGGACTTTAGATAGAAGAAAGAGAAGCCTGTACTCAAAGTTTGCATCATGAGTTGTTAACTTTGCTGTGGGGTGGAGGAGGGCTTTTTCTTTGTTTTTAAAGGGAAGATGATGAAATATGAAATCTGTGAGTTGGAGCAGTGCAAATGCTGCTAGGTTTAGCCTGTTGGTGACAATGATAACATACTATAGAGGAAGTTATTGATGTCTCGATTTACCGGTTGGTCAGAAAGAACAAGATCCCAGATATGAGAGTCTGAAATAAGCTTTCTCCACAGGGTGGCTGGGCACTCCCTTAGATAGGATGAGGAGCTTTGTCATCCGGGAGGGCACCGGAGTAGAGCTACTTTCTCCTCCACATTGACAGGAACCAACTGAGGTGAGTCGGACAAGCATTCTTGTGATGCTTGTCCAACTCATGATTCATGATTCTTGACAGCATCCTTATGCCCCATTTACATGAACCCTCTAAAACCGAGCCATGCCGAGTTTGGATCGGGCTTGGATCAGTTAACCATGCCGATCTTGGTTCTTATGAGCATTTACACGTCACGCTAGCACAGTTCCTCGCCTCTTATAGGCGGTCCATGAAACTGTAGCTCTCAAGGTAGAAATTATGCAATAACAGTACCCTTAACATTCCAGAACTTATGTGCCTGGATAGCGTGCTCCGCCCAAATTTCAATGAGAGCCTCTGTCTCAGCATCATCCCAGGTTGCACCAAATTCCTTTGATGCTTTTTAATGTTAATAGGCTGAAAAGAATTTGATGTTGTGAACAGGTGAGGTGATCTGTGAAATGCAAAGCCGGACATGCTGCCGTGGAATGAGTCAGCTGACTGTAAATAAGAGATGACGCACTCTAATCATGCGCTCTTTATTAACAGAGAACCGAGCCATAGATGAATCGTGCCGAGCCCTACTGTTGAACTAGCACTAGATTAGCGCGGTTCGGTTGTGTCTGGCACGGTCCAGTTCAGTTATGTTCCATTTACTTTCAACATTTATCTCAGTTACCGTGCTCGGAACATTCTCGGCACAGTTTCAAAAGGCTAGTGTAAATGGGGCTCTTGAGACCTATGAACATTGGTCATTACAAGCCGGATGGAACAAGGTTATTAGAATTATTGTCATGTATACGAATAACATATCAGCAGCTCTAGAAACATTTGAGCTGGGATGCTCGGGATGCCCAAGATGTATCGCAATAGTCTATCAAGTTACAGGCAGATACTGTTTTACATATTATGAGTAGAATACAAATAAATATTGTAATATAAAATATCTAACAACGAAAACAAGGAAATGTAGTGTGTGCCTGTATTCAGCCTATTCGGCCAAAGAGTTCAATCTTCACTCATCTGACTGCAGCACAATGTTTGCTGTGTCCATTATGTGGCTTGTGGCAAACTACAAACAGGATGTCTTAAGGTTTACTTAAAACAGATGATTTGTTCCTACCAGTCTTATGTGAAGGTCTAATTTGTGGAGTGTATAACTAACAGTTATCCTTTCAAACAATTATTCCACTTAGGCTGTGGATTTCAGGAGGTCTTTTCAGAGTTACCAAGGACCCTCAGGCTGCCTTCCTCATCAATTGTCCCTTTGAGTGGCTTTGAGCAAGATCAGTACTTAAATACTCCAAAAAAGGTTAAAAAATAAATAAAAAGGAGTCCCCCAGCAAAAAAAATGCACTTTTTAAAATACACAAATAAATCTAATATGATCAAAGGCTCTTGTTTCAGGTGGAAAACCTGGCAGTGGGGTCAGAAAAGGCTGGGTTCTTTGCAACAGTTACTCTACTCCCTAACAACTGAATGAAGCTAAAAAAGAGCTGAATAATTCTACTGAGAAAAAGTTAAACAGATTAATTTTCTTTAGCAAAACATAAAGAATGTTTTCTTTTCCCACAAAATATAAGAAAGCAGTGCAGTGCAGGTTTTTTTTTTTTTTGTCAAAATTTCTTTTCTGCCAGTCAGTCAGGACACTGGTGATCTACGGACAGGTGGAGGCTGGCACTGTTTGTTATGTTCAGATGTAAATAAAAAGAAAAACCATGAACCCCCTCCTTCCTTTCTAACATTATGCACTGTAATATGTTGGTCTACCATATAAAACTTATTCACTTAAGTCAGGTTGTTTGGTGGCAGAAAAACTCAAAAATGCCTCTCCTACGTATATGGTGGTCCTCAAGTCCAGATCTTTAAAGCGCCACTGCCGGAAGCTTTGAGCATTAAGGTCTCCATGGTTACTACCCTGATGGTGACTGCAGCAAATCCTGTTGGAATTGATATTATATTTCTAGGGCATCACCATTGATGGGCTAATCAGTCGACTTTGATCTGCTGTTTTTCTAATATGTCTAAAAACCATGAAAACACCTAACTTCCCTAAGCTATAAATTAATAAAAAAAAAACATGTATTTTGAAGCAATGCTAATGAGTTTCACAAAAAAAAAGAAATGTTTTAAAGGTGAAAGGAATTAGCTTTGATTCATAAAAAGGAAACATGCTTACTCCCCTAATTCTATGTTGTATTTTAAAGTGTTCAAAAATAGCCTGGAGAACATGTTCTACGTTTTATTATCCTTATGGGAACAATATTGATTGAGCTTTAAGAACTCTGTTATTGGTATTCCCAAATATTGCCGGTTAAGTTTAATATTCTAGAAGTTTGTGTAACAATAAACTAAAACTTAAATTAAGGCGGTGGCTTCTTACAAGAGGCAGAGTAGCGGTGGCTTCTTTAATCTCCGAAAGCAGCACATGGCGGTGGATGTTTCTAGGTGCACTCTGGTATCTCTGTTTTCTCCTGGAAAACAGCAACGAAGAGCAGATTCATCACACTTAAAGCAGTTAGTAAGTATAAAACCCAGATTAATAGAAGAATATAGTCTACTATACCCAAATAGCTCTTGAAAAAATATATGGTATATCTAAGTATTGGGAAGTTTGCTTTATTTAAACTTTCCATCTTAGGTGTCCATTTTTTTAATGAGCCAAGCAGACAGAAATATGATTAAGGGGTTAGGAGCAAAGAAATGGGTCGTGTACTTGTTCTGACAATCCTCCACGACAGGATCTTTGACATCAACGCGGCGCAGGACCTCCTTCACAGACTCCTCCAGCCACAGCATTACTGCTGCCTCCTTCCACAGAAGAAACGTTCTCCCCACATACAGAGCTGTGAGCTCAGCCAAAGCTGGTGGCTGCCTGGAAATATAAGAATTTTGGGGAGTTTAAAAATTAGCGTTCATGGGGAGGAAAAAACCCCAACTCAAAACAATTTTATTAAACACTGAAGACTATTATTTATCTATTGTATGATGAGTTGGATTCTAGTTATAGAGAATCTGCAGCATTTATGGTGGTTGTTGGTCTAGTGGTTAGAGCAGTACGCTTGTGCTCTGAGAAGTTTGCAAAACCATAACCACACACTGCTCCCCGGGCACCAAACAATGGCAGCCCACTGCTCCCCAAGGGGTTGGGTTAAATGCAGAGAGTGAAATTCCCTATTGTGGCACAATAAAGGGATTTACATACCCATTTGCATAAAAACAGAAATTTACCCTATCTGACTCTTTGGACCAAAGAAACTATGGGAAGAGACTGTGCTATCAGGCTGCACCGTGCACAGGTCCAGTAAAGGCATCAACACTGAAAACAGAAAAAACAACAACACAGGAAATATGAAAATCTCCCTTCATTGGTAACATATACTACTATGGTATATAATAATTAACCTCCAGGGAACATTATGAGAGCACTTTGGAGCATCTGGTCTGCTTGTCGTCTTTGCTTTTCACTTTCTTCAGGGTCTGTATCTTCTTGCTGACTCATTTGGAAATGACAAAGCGCGCAGGAAAATGCAAAGTTTGGCAGCTGAGACAGATTTCTATGCTCCTGGAAGAAACACACCAAACATTTGAGCTGTTAAGAGGTGCACACAAACAAGGCCTCACACCGCACACAACAACGCACTCTTACCTCCCAATCCTGATACAGCTGAAGGAGAGACTTGTACTCTCTGGAACGAAGCATGAGGAAATCGATGAGGAGCAGCATGCAAAGGGGGTCAGAGTCTGGGTCTAAACTGTGAGACACAAAACCATGAGTATAACAGTCACTCGGGAAAATGTTTCCTTCAGATAATCAGAAATCATCCACCCGCTCTTTCATCATCCGCTTTATCCCTGTCAGGGTCGAGGGGTGCTGGTGCCTCCAGCTGTCTATGGGCGAGAGGCGGGGTACACCCTGGACAGGACGTCAGTCCATCGCAGGGCAACACAGAGACAAACAACCTAACCCTAACTCCTAAAGAGAATTTAGAGAAGCCAATTAACCTAACAGTCATGTTTTTGGACTGTGGGAGGAAGCCGGAGTACCCAGAGAGAACCCATGAATGTTCAGGGAGAACATGTAGAACCCGAGCCGGGAATCAAATTCGGAACCTTCCTGCTACAAGGCAGTAGTGCTACTCACTGCATTAATGAGCAGCCCATCAGAAATCATATTGCATTTCCAGTTTAATGAAGGATATACATTAAACTGGAAAATGTATGAGCACTTGTATACATCTCCTTAATAATTTCATTTTTTTTTTAAATTCTAAATTAGATAGGAAACAGAGCTATGCATTAAAATGCAACTAATGGCCTAAATGAAATACCACTAGTTCTAACCATAAAAAAAAGGAATATGATAATACAGCTGCAACAAAAAGCATTTTGCAGCACAAAATAAAGAACTTTTTAACATTATATTGAATCATGTTCACTATAGGGTTAAGTTGCAAAGGAACCTAGGCTAATATATAATGGTTTTGCTGTATTTAAATTTGCTAGTCTAATAAAACCTTTCATGTTTTCTCAAATTTTAATCAATAGTGATGTTGTTTTAATTCAAATATCAAGCTGTGATTAAAAAACGCAACAGAAGTTGCTGTTCAGCTTAGTAAAACTAGAATGAATTAATACTGTAGTTGTGTGCAGATAAATTATATCTTTTATTGGGTGATTCAAACGTCCAGGGAGTAAATATGTCCAAAAACACTTCAGAAATCACTTGTTTTGTAATCCCAAGTCTACACATTCTATAAAAGGGACAGCTAGAGACAAAGTGAAGCATTACGTCTAGAGGGGATAAAAAATATTGCGTGTAGCATTTAAATATGCGTTTAAAAAATTGTATATGGTTAAAAGGAGTGTTCACAGTGAAAAGCTTTATGCACAGCAGGCGATATGAGCAGATCATTTGATTGCGGTCTTATGTTATGAGGAAGGTAGCTGTTTTGATTAAGCCACCGTTTCATTGCTGTTCCCAATGATAATCTTTGAACTTTTAACATATCAGTTAATAAATCTGCTTTGAATCGGAATCTGTTTTCCAAGCCCAAATATACAGTGACTTAGCAGATTTATAGGACCTTAAACATTTCCACATTTTTTTCTTTATGCAGAAAAACATGTTTTTGCTTTTTTTGGGTGGGTGGGATGAGGGTATATATTGAACCATCACAGAATAATGCATTGTTAGAAAGTTAAATGATTTTTACTAATAATATCTGGCTTACCATAATTTAACCATTAAGTCTTTTGGGGAATGTCTCTACCAGCTTTGCCTATTAATAGGCTAAAATGTTTCGCCTTTCTTTTGAGATTCACGCTAAGAAAAGTTAGTTGTGACATTAATGTTCACTGTGCCGAGGTAAAAAAATAAACAAACACTAGTGCTGAGATATGTTTTTTTTTTTTTTTTTACCGAAGGAGAGAGTGCAAAATAAATAGGTGTTTTATTAAAAAACAGAATATCATAATGCATCAAGACTACAGCGGGGGTAAACTGAGAGAGGGGAATAAATCTTAATTCTAATGTGCCTCCTACAGTGTCAATAAGCATTTATCAAAAGTTATGAGCGATTAGCGTTTTTTTCTAATTCACTATATTGGTTTGTAAACACAGTCTTTCAGGTTTAGGTGTGTTTTTCTTCTTGAACACGAATGATGAAAGTTTATCAGACAAAAATAAAGGAGGTGAGGATCAAGAAACTAAAAAAGGGGAGAAGCCAGGGACTGAAATAAGAAGAGGGAGAGTTGATCAAATGACTAAATAAGCATTTTATCTTTTGAGTTTGTCAGTCAGTTAACTGAGTTAGCTATAAAGTCCATTATATAGTCCCTGCTCTATTTAGTGATTGAGCGATTTAGGGGCTAGGGCGGATGTTCGGACACAGTAAGCTTGTATGAGCTGTGTGAACAGCAACTTTTAAACAGAGCGAGCACGAGGAGAAATGGACTCATGCATAGTCTTGCACACGTTTAATAGGAGTGGGTTGTGTATGTGCATTTTGTCTAAAAGTGGACACGGCAGGTCTTTTAAAAAATTTCACAAAAATCCTCCACAATACCTTTAGGATTCTCTCTTGGATTTTACACACATATTAAGTTGATGTAATAAGAATCTTTAAGCAGCTGGTGCCAAAGTGCCGAGTCTACAGGTATTAGAGGGCTGAACGCAAACGTCTGGATTTGGTTTCTAAAAAGTGAGTCTTTTCACATACCGGTAAGTCTTTCCACTCCCTACCTTGTGTTTGATTTTTCAATAATTTCTAAATAAAAACAGAGGTTTGCTAAAATATTCACATAGGCTAACAGGCATCAAATCTCTTTCAAATTGCAGTAATGTTAGCATGAGGAGCATGCTACTACTATTTCAGATGTACACAAAATGCTTAAGTTTTGCACTAATTCCCATCTAAATTTCAGACAGTGTGAAGCAGATCCAATTTAGGAAAGCATCATCTTTAAATATTTAATGCATGCTTATTTAGATCCTAGCAGCTACTTAGGGTTTCAGTTTCTTTTAATAAATAAAAATGCTATTCAGAACTAACATAAGTAGAACAGCCTTTCTTTGAAAATAAACAGGTAATAAGGGAATTTCAAAGAGTGCTGTTGTGACTCGTTTCCCTCTTTTTACCAAAGGATCAGTTTGCAGTATTCCAAGGCAGTCCGTGGGCATCCTCTCTTTTCCAGGAACATCATGTGCTTATAAAGAGCCAGATAAAATGCTCTGCAAACAAGGATTATTAAATTACTGGATTGCTCAGGCCATAAAACATCATTTAAGTTCGAAACTATATTCTGGGGTCAAACTGATGCAAAACCAACCTGTTTTCCGGTCTCAAATAATCCAGTCGGCTGGTACCTGATGTCAGGCTGAATAAAGGATGAAACGAGCACTCAAAGCTATACAAAGCCCGTTCTGCAAAAGAAGGTCAGAACACTGAAACAAACATGCCCTGCCAGTCATAATCTTATTAGCAATCAATTTACCCCCAAGTCTTCACAACCTAAAAATATTAAAACTAAAAACCTCTGTCTTATGGTAAAGTTTGGCCGGTGGCATGTAATTCAATTATCCGGCGTGGAACACAAATGCTCTTTGTGAAATCAAGCCTCTAGTCTCCCACAGAAGACTAAAAAAAAGAAAGCATTTAAGGACTTGGTCTGTAATAAAAACATAGCATTGTGCTTTACATGAAGCCTGAGCTCTGATTCCTTAACAAAGGTTGGTTTGTTGGGTTGAATTTGCAAAAAAAACGCACGGCTCCAAAACGATTTAATCGGATAAACAAAAATAGGAGTCATCAACTTATCTGACATAATTTTTGGCTAAAGTCACTCGGACAAATAAATGTAATTCCAAATATAAAGCAAAAATCACACTGATCTCTGCACTCCTTAGACGCTTTTTTCATTTATTTTTCACATGATCTCTGTTACTTTAAGGATGCTCATGAGACTGACCCCAGCGCAGTGAAATGTTATGATCCAAATACAATCTCCCACTTGTCCTATTTATATGATGATGGAAACCAGACTAATAATTGACAGCAGACTAGTTTCTAAATAGGAGCTGCATCCTTTCATGTTTGTGCCAAAATCAGTTCTCTTTAAAACAGACAAACATAAAACAGGAAGACTTTATTTGTTAAAATAGAAATGCCAGGAGGCTTTGTGGATGCATCAGATAATAGGTTGGAATGGCAATAAGGGAAGAAAAAGGCCTCCACAAAGGCGCTGAGAATTGCATGCAGGTTACAATTTAATCTAACAAAAATAAATTAAAGCCTTTTAAACTGTCTGTGTGCAGGAAAGATTCAAATCACTTGCTCCTACATATACTGAGGTTGGGTACAAAGAATTCCTTAAAAACAGCACACACAAAAAACTCAACAGGTTGGAGTTTTCCCCTCACCGATGAGGTCTCGGGCCATCTCTTGATCCTCCTGTATCCTGCAAACGTCAGAAAGCTGCAGCAGGGAATCAATGTGGTAAGGGTTAAGCTGAAGGAGGGCCTGCAGAAAACAAGAAAAAAAAAACAGTGCTTAACCTGGCGGAGCTGGCAGAAATGTACAGCTGTATGCTTGAAGCAGCAGTTCAAACAACAAATGAAAGAAAACTTCTTCCCTTTTTTCACAGCATGTATTTTTTGGTAAATGTTAAGCATCAAAGCACTTTTGTTGAGTAGCTTTAATAATCTCAGCTGGGAATCAGGTGCTTTTTCGGGGATAGGGAGGGAAGACGGCCTGGTCGGATGACAGCTGCTAAGGCAAGCTGGAGCATTAAAATCCAAACCCCTTTTATAAATTAATTGGGATCTTAAAAAGCAGAGTGAATATTTTAGCTTAACTAATCTAGATCGTCGCCTTAAAAACTCATAAATGTTAATTTTGGGTCTTCGAAAACGTATTATTTAACATTCTATTCACAATTTTGCCACCGCTATCTGCAACTTCTGCCCAAGCCTGACCAATCTGCTTCCACCTGCACTGATTCATAGGAAATGAACACTCCTGATGGATCGTTCAGATTGTCCTGATGAAGGATGCATTCCTCTGCAGCATTTGAAGAATACTTTGAGGAGGACTTGTGGATTGGGACCGTGCTGTGATATAATCGGGATACAAATAAAAGTGACCTTGTATATATCATCTACCATTAGGACTGGTTCCATAAGAGTTTCTACTGCCTTGATTTTTTATTTTTTTAATTGCATTATTTGTTTGTTTTAATGTTTTTATTGTAGTCTTTAAAATACCAGAATTTCTACATAACTTTACATTTTGGTCTGTCATTACCGTACATTATATTACGTAATTTAAAATAGTAAATCAGACGTTATAATGAGTTACCCAGTACTTGAGCGGCCTTTTTATCAAATACATTTTTACTCTTACTTAAGTTTTGGTACACAACACACCTCTCGTCTGATCAGGTAAGTTTCCCAACAACAACTTTTAGCCTTGTTAGCTCTCCTGTTTCAGTAGTGCTCAGATCTTTGGGTCACATGACTCATTCAGTGACAAATCCAACCCTCTTAAGTTACATAGACAAGTTTTATAGAAAAGCAGCCTGCTTTTCTATCGATCAGGTTTGATATTAGAAATGCAGTTTTATGCGACAAAAACTCACCACAATGTTGTTGGGATCCATGGACTCGACGGCATCTAGGAACTTGAACTGCACTTGTTGGTAGTCCCTGTTGTGCTCAAAGGTGAAGCATTGAATGCCATTCTTTGACTCCAGCAAGGTCATTGAGATTCCTAGAGAGAAATAAATTAGTGTTAGGAACAGTACATTTAAATTAGGGATGCAACTAATGATTATTTTGCAAATAGATTAATATGTTGATTATTTTTTAGATTAATCGATTAATAATCGCATAGCAAAAGGTTCCTTTAAGAAAACTATATGAAATTAAACCAGATAAAACAAAAACTTTTCCACTTGAGGAGTTGTGGATAGAGCATATTGACAGAAGAAAATATTTTTTATCTTTATTGCAAAATGTTTACATCTTTTTCACAATTTTGTTATAATTACTGCTCTAAATGGGTCGCTCTTTCAGCTAAAGGCATGTTTTAGAGTCCCTACACTTCAGTTAACGATTGATAGATTACTAAATTAGTTGACGATTATTTCAATAACCGATTAATCAAGATTAATATGATAAATTTTTTCAGCCCTTATTTAAATAAACCCAACATTTACAATTTTATGTTAAAATAATTTTTATTAAATTATAAAAAAGCATCTAAAAACCATTACAAATTATGCAAGATTTATTGGCTTCTGTTTTAGGAAAGCCATTAAATCTTGATAATTTGCAATTAAATGTTAATTACAAATTTAAACACTGTAATATAAATTAGTGGAGGGTTACAGTTTAAAATGAGAAATAAAATGCCTATTCCAGTGATAGTCTATTCTAAATTACTCTCAAACGCATAATTGGAGCATGTAACATATTGTGGATCGGTAGCGGGATATTAGGAAACCCTCAGATGATCTGCTAAACACCAAACAGAAAGTGTGTGAGCAAGTTATAAAACCCTTAACACACAGGCCTCTGTGTGGATGAGGCTTGAGTTTAAAGCTTTCATAACAACCTCAATATTTGTGGGGGAAAAAAAGGCCATCTGGGCATGGCGTGAATGTCCATCAGGCAGATAAGGTAATCAATCAAAAACGACTATCAGTGCTTCGACAATAAGCCAGTCTTTTTGATGACGTCATGGCCTAAAACGCTTTTAACCTCTTTTAATTGGCCTGTCTGCATATCTGGAAAGCAGAGATAAGTCTTGAGTTATTCTGGTTAATGTTGCTATTAAGAGCTGAATCTTATAATTATACATTACAATAAAAGAGAGGCAGAAAGATTTACAACAGGGTAAGAAGACAGAAAACCGATCAACCCAATCATTTCCATGACACTACACCTCAAAAGTCAGTTTTATATGTTAGACCAACAGAAAGTAGAGCCTTTAACTTCAAAGTTAGGCATGTTTATGACAGTCGATCATATCAAACCCCATTCAAGTAATCAGACAAAATGTAAAAAATGTCAAGGCCCACCTGGTCGGCTGAAGCGAGGCCAACTGTCCTTTGGACTGGTCATCCAAGTGCTGCGGTGAAAGTGTCTGTTTCTTTGCCGAGGTCTGCTTCAAGAAAACAGAAACATGGAAACTACAAACCTATATCCTACATGAAAAAAGCAACACCTTTCATAAAAAAAAAAAAATCTTTTTAATATTAAAATTTTCTTACCTTTGATCACCAAGAACAGCCCGAGCTCCAAAATATCTCTTCAGCTCTGTCTCTGGGTTGAGATTTCTGATAAAATACCAGAGACAACCATCTTAACGATGAGCAGTGGAACTTCATTCATTCCAATCAGATATGGGAGCTACCCTGTATGGAAGCTTTGAATATTGACTGACACCAATATTGACCCAATATCATATCAGCATTACTCATATTACTCATTTTGTTGTGTGAAAAGGTTAAAAAAAACTCAATCAAATGATATTACTCAGATACTTATAGTCAAAAACAACTGACCCATGTGTTATTAACCAATGGGTCACATTAACCCTAAACAGATGTAAAGTGTTTTATAAGCTTGCTAATATCACAGATTTAAGGCCGGCATATTTAGATATATTCGTTTTTTGACTTATATCTGATATCAGTATCTCAGGACATCCCTAATTCCAAAGTGATCGCAAGCAAACAAATTGTTTTAAAGAAGTTGTAGAGGGTCTATAAATATTTGGATCTTCAAAGAATCCAAGTAAGGAGAGCTAAATTGTGAGGGTGAAAAAAAAAAAATAAGAACATGAATAGAGGTCAAAAATCAATAGTGGTGAAGATGTTTAGCCTAAAGTTGGGTTTACTTCTACAAGAATTACAAAGCAGGCAGTTTCACTATTGGATATGAGCCAGAACAGGTGTAAATGCAGTGTTCAAAGCAGCATGGAGGAAGGGGAATTTTTTTTCACAGTCTTCCTAAGGATCCAAAGACTCGACAGGCATGGATTAGTGTATCAGAAGATCCCTGCAAACTTTGATGCTTAGCTGTTCATTTGCTCTAAGCATTTAACTGAAGACAGCTTTCAAAATCTTTGACAGTTCAAAGCTACACTTTTCATAGGTGCTGCAAATTACTACAAACAAAAGTAAAAAAAAAATAAAATAAAAAGAGGCAAATAACCAGAGTAAAACCTACAAGATTATACATGAATACAACCTGGAAAAGATCCCTCTGACTCTTTTTTTTTATGTAGAAAAAGCCACAGTGAGATTTAGAGAGTTTATGATCTAAACAACTGGATGCACCTTCTTCATCTCCTCACAACAGCAGCTTGACACAATCTATTTAAAAGTGGTTGGGGCATAGAGCTCAGAATCCTGAGGTTCTGAGTTCAAGCCCCACTCCCACAGATTGCCACTCTGGGTCTCTGTGCAAGACCCTTAACCCCTGATTGCTCCCCGGGCGCCGCACAATGGCAGCCCACTGCTCCCCAAGGGGATGGGTTAAATGCAGAGGTACATTTCTCCAATGTGAGATTAAGAAAGTTCAATTATTAATTATGGGCAGAAAAAGATAGCTAATTGGGGACGAGCACGTAGGACAGCCTAACGTAAACATATCACCAAAATGATTGACAATTTGATTGACAATTAGGACGACCACTTATTTAGATGATCCACCCAGAAATAAAAGATTATCCTCTATACCTTTAAGTTTGACATTGTCTAAAGCATAAAAAACTACAGAACATTAGGAGCATGTGCAATATGAAATAATAGCCCTCAATGTTATAACATTTAACAAATACAAGTTTAAAAGACTTTCTGCTTTCAGGTAATTGTAAACATGGACCCAAAATCAAGAGTATGCAGTATATCCATTTCAACAAGGTTTTTCAATAATAACCAGCCAACATTTGTTGCGGGAGTTTTCAAAATAATAATGTAGTATACAGTGATATCCTGATCATGATAAACTTGTGTTTTATTGAGATGCCTTACAAACCTAAATGAATTGCATAGGACGACATTACATTTTATTACATATAACTAGTTGAAACTCAATTTATTCATTTTCATCATAATTTAATTTAAACACAACTTTAAAGCCCTTTGGTTGAATTTAAAAAGCATCTTGATCAATCTAAACTCTCCGAAAATGTTCAGCAAAATCTTTATGATTCTAAGCCTGCATTCTTCTCCTTCAAAACATGCTTCACTGATTCTCCAGTTCACTTTTCTTTTATCTGATAAGAAATAATCTGGCTCGCTTGACTTTTCTTACGTCGGTGGTATCACTGACGTAAGAATGGCTGATAGCTACATTTCTTGAGACCTTTTTTTTTCTAAATGGAGAAATAGAGGGACTGTATCACTAATGTGGTTAAATAATCTGTTGCGTAACGATGGGAAAAATGTTATCTTAAAATATTAAACGAATTACAATGACAACACGCTGATATTAAAATGCTGTGTACATGCTTATGTGAAGACCCATGCCTTGGAAACAAATCACATAACTATGTGCATTCTAAGCATGCAAAAGGTCAGTGTTCCCACCTATGTTCCACATGTAGGACAGATCTTCGGATAGAGCCTCCACAGTCATCACTTTGTAGACTCACGCCGTTAGACTGATCCAGGTTCTCCAGCAATAAGTCGATATTGTCTGTTGCCACCCCCTAAAATAAATAAAATCATAAAAGCATAACAACTGTTATGTTGTTGCTGTATCTACTGAAATTATTCTGCAAGACTTAATTATTAGCTTTGAAACATTGTGCATGATAAATTGTTTTATCTTTCTATGAATGTAAATAGGGCTGAAAATTTAGTTTCTCTAACAGTCCTGTTAGAGTTGGATAAATTACTTACATTTCCTTGACCATCCTCTGATGGCGTTTTTGTTTTCTTTTTTTTCTTCTTCTTTTTAACCCTGTCCTCCGACTGCAAGAGAACAAAAAACAGGGAGGATATGGAAAAGCTGTGCTTGTAGCTTACACACTGAAGTCAATCTGAAGTCCTTCCTTTCCTTTTAACCTCACCTTGGTGGACTCCTCCTGATGCTTTTGATCTTTGTTCTCATCGTCTTTTTCATCATCCTTTTTGGTTTCACTTGCTTTATTTCTCTCTGGCTCTTCATCTGGCGAAACCTTCTCTGCTTCGTTTTCTGCATCACATATCTGGTAAAACAGCGAAACAAAAAGAATTGCTCTGGGTAAAACAAGCTTTAATCATAATATTAAAAGTGTCAGCATAGATTCAACGTAAATGGAAGCACAATTTTAATTTCTTCAAGTTTTAAATTATACATGCTAAAACTGGCCTTCACTAGTTTCTAAAACTATTTCAATAGAACTTAAAACATTCAAAATCACAAAACAAATCTGAATAAAAAATAAAGAAGTTTTATGTTAAAACTATGTGCATTCTTATTATCTCCATGGGATATCACCATCATGCTTATCACTGCACTTGGTGTAAGTCATTAATTAGGTGCTAGAAAAACTGGACTTCTGTTGTTTGCTGCTTTGGAGCATCTATCTTATGTTTAAACCTAAAGACAATGTGGAAAGACATCAGCAATGGTCTCAGATAATTAATTATTGCTGCATTTTAACATGGAAGGGATAATAATATTGTTTCTAATAAATTTGAGGGCTGTGACTGCAAGTGTTGTTGAAACAGAAAACATTTTCAACAGCTGCAAATCATTCCCATTATACCAATCTAATATAAAATATATTATTTATAAAAAAGGCTAAAAACCCAACCACTACATCGTTGACTCTACAGGACTGCAACTCAAAGAGTAAATAAAAAAAGACAGATTATTTGTTCTAAAAACAATATGGCAACCAGTTAAGTTTTTTAGTTGTTAAACATGTTTGTGGTGACTTACGTTTCCCTCCAAATCTCAATAGGGGCAGTTTATCCACTAACCCACTTACTAGGGGTGTAAATCACACCCATCATGGTAATTTCGACTCAGTATCGATTTCCTGACCTAACGATTCAATTATTTTCGATACTCAAGAATACATTATCTTCTTTTTCTCCACCATGTCTGTCTTGCCTACTGTTTATGCCACTGTGTGTGTGTGTGCATGCGGAAAGAGGGTAGTAGCTAAAGAAAGCGAGGTAGGAGGGCAAAATAGGTTTAACGCCACCACAGCAGGGGAGTCAGAATTACATCCAGGAGCAAGTGGAAAATAATAGACCGGAGGAAAAAAAAAAAAAAAGAATCGATACTCTTGCAGACTCAATCCAACGTGCATCGGACTGTCGGATGTTGGATCGATGCATCGATACAAAACAATTATTAACACCACTATCGCTTTCCTAAACAACTTAACCTTAACAACCCTAGCTGACAGGGAGAAACCTACGTTAATGCAGGGCTGTCAACTCTCACCCATTGGGTGTGAGACTCACACATCTCAGTGTCTTCACACGCTCACACTCCGTATCCACAATTTTTGACTCTAAAAAAATGACGGACATTAAAACTGAACTCCATTCCCTTTTATGCATCTATAAAAATATCATGTTGATAGAAATCCACTAATTTAGTAATCCATTCATCCTTAACTGGAATATAGAGACTCTAAAACATGTATTTAGCTGACAGAGTGACCCATCTTGAGCAGCAATTATACCAAAATTGTAAAACAAATATGTAAACATTTTATATTTAAAAAAAAAAGAAAAAAAGAAAAGTAATCTTTCAGTACGCTCTATATTCCCCAAGTGGAAAAGATTTTGCTTCACCTGGTTTAATTTCGTAAAAAAATCTTTTTTAAAGAACCTTTGGCTGTCCAATTATTAATCGATTAATTGAAAAAATAATCGACAGGTTGGTCTATTTGCAAAATAACCGTTTCGTTGCAGCCATCTACAGCCTCCTAGAAGGTCTGAATTGGTTAGCAGTTTTGTCAATTGTAAGAACTAATAAGATAATGAGTTAAGATTTATTAATCCTCAGCCTATTACCAAAAATTCATACACAGAGTAGTTGGCACAGGATTTGATTGCACTGGCTCCTGTATTCGTGCCAGTAATCCAGTAATTGCCTATTAGTTCCCCATTGCTTATTTTACTTGACCTGCATAGAATAATAAATGAACGTAGTTGTGAAATTCTTAGTTTACAGTATATTTAAGATGCAATTATTTTAGTAGGGCCCATAATTCTTCACTTCAATTCTCTAAGAATCCCCAGAATATAAAAAATAATGTATATTAAAAAAAATTGTAACACATAGCTACAGATAACTTATTGTTATTCAGTAACATTTACTGTTCTATCAAAAATTCCACCTTTTGCCACTTTGTTTCAGTTAAATCCTCTGAAATCTGCACCTGTCATCATAGCCTTTTAATCTAACCCTGACAATGGTGGCCTATCCAAACTATTTCAAAATCTCATTCCAAGGTTTGGTAAAAAGTTGGCAGCCCTGTTAATGTTTTAGAAACCATTAGGTAAAAGCATCACGTTTTGATGTTTAAGAGGCCACTTTAGAAAGTAGAAACTAGCATTAAAAGTCTGAATCTACCAGTTATACACTAATAATGTAGGAATGAAACTAATTTGACATAAATTGTTATATTAGTTTGTTGTTAGACAGGCGTTGACCTTGTTTAACATATGTCTCCCCACTAAGTTGGCTTATCTATCAATAAAACTCCAAAGTGTGTTAATAATTACCCAAAGAGTGAGCTATTATCTAGTTAGCATGTCCTACCCCTGTTAGCCACTGATGTAAACAATCGCCGAGAAGAGACACAAACCGCTGTGACTTTAAAAGAAAAAAGTAGGTTCGGTTTCACCGTCGCCTTACCAGCTCATAAATGTTACTGAAGTTTTTCTGAGCCTTATTTTTCTTTGCCTTTCGGCTGCTGCCTTTGCTGCTGGAAGGAGGGGAAACATTAGCAACATTAGCCGTGTCCAGATGCTCCTCAGCTTCAGCCTGCTCCTCTGGGCTGTCTCCCAAACTTAGATCCCCGAAGTCCAGGCCCTCCTGACCCCGCTGTTTCCCTTTAAGCCTTCTCAAAGCCCGAGTCGACATTATACACACTCTGTGGAGGTCATGCAAATATATATTGTACTATTTTACAATGTTTTCATAGCTGTCAGGTAAAAGACCAACAGAATAAGGGTAGATTCAGAGGCGTCTTCTTCTGAATGTTTACGGGCAGTTAGTGTAGAGTGACACTGCCCTCTAGTGGACAGACTAAACACTACATTACATAAATCTGTTTAAATGTGCCTAAGTTGACCAGATCAGCAGTTCTGCCAGTATTTGTACGATATTTTTATTATAACTACTTGTTAGTGTCAACAAGGAATGGTCAGAAGGCGGGGATCAAAAGCAAAAATTTGTCTCCCTTATTCATATTTATTGTCATTGTTTGGAGGAGCTATTGATTGTTTTTTGGTCATTAACTGGTTTGTACTTTGGTAACCTAAACCTGCAACTTTTAAAGACATAAGGCTGACATTGTATCTTAAACTTCAACTGGTTAAAAATATATTCTAAGCAGATATACATAAATCAATGATCATTTAAGTGATATTTCTCTTTTTTCTGCAATGTGCATCTAAAAATGTGTTAAAAATAGAAAAATTAAGTATTTTATTTAGATTTTAAAATCGCGTTCCAAAAGAAATAGAAAAAAAGCCCAGGACCCCCTGCAGGGACCCTCATAACAGCCTTTATTAGAAATGTAGGTTCTCATTAAATTTAAATCAATTCAATGATACTTTATTAATACCCAAAGGGAAACTCAGTTTTAGTAATTTTTCATTCCAAAAGGGTTCTTACAGCAGTGGTTTTCTCCCACCCTGCACATAGCAGACTACACTGGACATACATGTCAGTGCACATTCACAGCTTCATTCACGGCCCAGTCCATGTTTTCTGTGGTTGTAAATCCTCACCACCGCACCAAGAGTCACAGCTACTGATATCACAAAGTGGCATAAAATTTCCTTGATGGCTCATTTAAAAAATGCCACACTTTGTCTGGGATCTAACAAAGATATATTTCTACAATCTTCTGCCACATATTAGATTCCAGAAGTGCATAGTCCCGAATCTTCACTCCTATCACTGCATACAGCTGCACACGGCTCAGTTTGAAGCACTCCATTGTCCCAGTGCTTTTGCATCACCTTGTTTCACAAATGCTGCAGAGTAGATAAGTTCAGATTATTCAATTATCTTTATATTATTATCTCTTAGTACAAACACCTCTAGCTGCCCGATTTTCATAAACGTGATTAAGATACCAACGCCTGTCAACACAAGAATGGCCAATTTAATCACTTCAGAGATCAGGGCTCACTGGATCTGGATTGAAATGACATTAATTATGTCAAATGTAGCTACTTTTACTTTGTATTGGCTCCATTGCTGTACCTGGGCTCCACCTTTCTCATACCTCTTCCTAATGTTCTACATTTATGCTGCTATACGTTTCGGCTGATGGAGGACATAGGGATTGATTTTCATTATTCTGCTTCATCCCATCTCCATTATCCCACTCTGCATTTTTGGTAAGTTCAACCTCTAACTTTATGCTGCCTCTGCTTTTCCCATCATTGAAGCTTTATCTGGTCTGGTCCTGCTTGGCTGTGACACCAACCCAGAGAGAAATATCAGCTGTACTGCTGCAATCAACATATTTTTTTATAGATGTTAGAGATTTGCCTGTATTTCAGTGTAATCCTGTTTCTCTGACTGTGACTAACTCTATGTGCTCTCTTCATCCTCTGACATGAGAACTAGCTTAAGGTTTGTCTGCCTGCCTGTGTGTTTAATTGAAAGGGCCGCCTGTGGTGCTGGTTGACAGTTACCTTTTGCAACTCTGCTTATTTTCGTATGTCTGCTTCAATCTTCTTGAACCCCAGTCAGCCTCAACAGATGGCTGCTCAAACTGAGCCTGGTTCTGATGGAGGTTTCTTCCTGTTAAAAGGGAGTTTTTCCTCTCCACTGCCGCTACATGCTCGGTGTGAGGGATTGAATGAAGTTAACTCAAAATGCAAGCAAAAATAGTCACTGCAAGCTCATCCAGAATAGCATTACTTGTAAGTTGACAACTGAATAAAATCAGCTGATTTTCCCTGACAGAAACCAATCTGACTTCTTTGTCTATATGCAAATTGCCTTGTGATGACCTGAGTTGTGAACGGGGGCTGTATAAAAAAACTGAATTTAACTGATTACTCATAGTCTTAGGGGGGTTAAAGTCATAGTACCGGGCCTCTATATTTTCCCATCCATAAAGTCTGGTTTCAGGTTCTTTAAGCTTATTGCAAAAACAGTGCTTGCAAGCCAAAAACTGCTGAACAAGTCAGACATTTCCTCATACCTTTCAGCCAACATGTTTATCAGAGGCTTCTCTTTTCCCACTATCCAGCCACTCAGCTCTGCTACACTCATGTTACGTTGTCTTCCAGTGGTTAACAGGCATTTTAAGTTTTAAATTAGCCTCAACCTTTTCTTCTGGTTTTAAGTCATTGTTTGTTCTGAGTTCAGGGAAATCCAGGCAGAACCTTGACATCCATCCACTGTATATATTTCAGTACCTCTGCTTCTGTGTTGTGGCAATAGTTAGGGTCAGTCCTGACTATGACCATTTTTATGTTTTTTTTAAACACCCTCCTAGTGACCCTCCAAAGTGACAGTCCCCTCTGCCATCGGAGTGCATCCTGGTCCTCCTTTTCAACACCTTTTCACTGGGCTTCAGTTTCGAACTGCCTTTTTCAGTCCATACTAAACAAACTCCACAATGTCTGTGTTTCATCATATTTTGACTTGTTTCTCTGCTGCCCTCTTCAGGAGATGTTCTCCATTTCCCATAAAACTGACTTCCTCATCCTCCTTCTATGCGAATTGATTAAAATATTCAGCTAATTCACTCTGCAGAGACTTTGAGTCAATAGTTGGACACAAATCCTGTCTTTTTGATTGTCTTGTTGAGCTGCCTCTGTGCTTGCCTCTCTCTGCTTTGCTCCATTCTGCTAGTTAGAATAGGCAGGTAGAAATAGCCTTAACATGGATAGTCATGACCCACATCAAGGGCACCATCAAAGTTACTGTGGATCCAGACCAGTACACCATAGCTTCTTTAGAACATATTTTTCTCACCTCTGACCTTTATCAAGTAAAATGTTCTAATATTTAAACACGTGATAACTGTGGGGGGATTATCCCTGTTTCCTTTCTCCAGGTCTGCTGGACTCTGTTTAAGACAGATGCATTTCAAAGTTCTTTTCACTTTCTAACTGTCAGGTAAAGATTTCTGTTTCTGTGATGTTAAAGCTTAATTTAATCTGTGTTTTGTAAAGCCTTCATTTCTTAAAATTAAGCCTGCTTTAGTCATTTTCCTTTATCAATTCTTCAGTGACGCAAATGTTCCTCCTCATCATCATGTGAGAGAGAACATCATCAGTGTTGACTGTAATTTTAATCCATGACACCCTGAATGTGTGTTTAGTGTATTTTTATATTTCTGTGGAAGAATAGCCCATGCATAAGGATTTCGGGATTTCTCACCCAAAAGATCCTAATTATTTATTTTAGGCGAGTTTTGAACTCTCCTCCATTTCCCATCAGGCTCAGGGATTTTACAGCTGATTCAGCTACTTTAAGATTCCTATGCAACACACCTCACTGTCAGTTCTAGACAGCTCAGGTATACACGTATGCTACATTTAATGTTGTGACCGGTGGCAGTGAACAGTCTCTTTTATTATCCATCCATCCATCCATTTTCAAACACATTTATCCCAAGTGGGGTCACGAGGGGTGCTGGTGCCATCTCCAGCTGTCAACAGGCAAGATCCTGGACAGGTCGCCAGTCCATCACAGGGCACCACAGAGACAAACAACCATTCACACAACAGAGGACTTTTAGAGAAGCCAATTAACCTGACAGTCATGTTTTTGGACTGTGGGAGGAAGCCAGAGTACCCGGAGAGAACCCACGCATGCTCACCGAGAACAAGCAAACTCTAGGCAGAAAGACCCCGGGCCGGGAATCAAACCCAGAACCTTCTTGCTGCAAGGCATCAGTGCTACCCACTGCGCCACTGAGCAGCCAAGTTCCTTTTATTACATTAATATATTTTTAAGAACTCTTCCACAAGCCTTTTTAAAATGAGTAAACTTCCCTTTTCTGAAATTTGCCTCAGCCTATTTCTTTGTGTTGTCTCTGAGTCATTAAGGATCAGCTCATACTACCTTGGCCTTCAGGCTTCATAAAATCCTCTACCACATTTTTAGCCTTGGTAATTGTAGGTGGAGCATTTAGAGCGAAAAACAGTTCCTCTACAGGTGGTCCCACAGCACTTATGCCATTTTATTTATTAATTTCAATTGAGACAATGTTTTTAAGGCCAAATGAATTAACAGAGCTTCCCTAACAAGGGATTCTTTTGATTGTGTGTGTGCTTAGTGTCTGGTAAATAAACTTTCAGATCTACTGCTGTTCCAACACATAGCTGTAATTTCCTGTGGGACATCTAAGGCTTTCCTATCTTACTGGTATGGGCTTTTACAGATGACTCCCTGGTATAGGATGAATATAACCCCTTTTTTAATGCTATTTCCGTTTTCCCATATCAGGCTGTATGTCTCTTTTTAATTTAGATCTGTTTTTTTGTTTATCAAAACCCTTTATAGGGCAAGTTACCGTTTTTGATCACTTGCATACCCCTTACAAATGGATTCCCCCCTGTCCCTCAGTGAGATCTAGAAGCACAAGATCTATATCCAGCCATTCCGCATAGATACTGCTACATGGCTGTACATCTTATTTAGGAATTCGACCAATTAGAGGAGCCCTTGAATGATATATTACCTACTGGAAATTAAGTTAAAAAAAAATTAAAAAGTTAAGAAAAAAAGGTAAAAAGCTACTTGAAATGTAAGTAAAAAAGTTGATAAGCTGAGTTAAGAATTATATTTAGGTTTACAAACTAAAAAATGATAGTTCCAGTATCACCATTAATGCCTCTAAGGTTATGTTGGACCAAATAAAGAGTGTTTTTTTAATGAATTTCTTATAGAAGCACTTTTGTTATTTTTCTTAATATATTGGGGCAAATTGGCATTTCTTGTTATTACATTGACATCAATTTTTACCATCAAAATATCCATATTTCTTTTAATGTTACAAGGTAAT